TGAGTTTTAGCTCAACCATAACAATTGGTATCAGAGCAGCTACGAGGACTGGGTATGACAGAAACTAGAAGTAAAGCGAACGAGGAACATTTGAAACGTTTGGATAAGGAAGTTACAGATTTGGGAGTAGCATATAAATCTTCTGATCAGATGTTGAAAGGGATGAGTACCAAACAGGATAGATTGGAGCAAATGATGGGAGATATGAATCAAAAATATGAATCTATTGTGGCGATGTTAGCTCAGATGAATGGAGCTAAACCCAGACGTGATGAAAAACAGATCGAGGGAAGTGCAGTATCCTCTCAGGTCAGGGAAGATGGTAAACATAAGAGTGAGTATCACGCCGGAAATTCCAGTGGGTGTAGGGAGTTCAAAATGCTTTCTAAACTACCCAAAATAGATTTTCCCTATTTTGGAGGAGATGGACCCAGAGAATGGTTGCGAAAAGCAAGGAAATATTTCCAGATCCATCAGATAGAGGAAGAAATGAGAGTTGCAATTGCAGAGATGTATCTGAAGGGAAAGGCTGACATATGGTTCCATGGATTCATATCCAGCCACCCTCATGCTGATTGGGATCTCTTCTCAAGAGAAATTTGCAGAAGATTTACTGAGAACACGGCTGAGGAAGTGATAGAAGTCTTCAGTAAGTTGAGGCAGCGGGGATCTATTTTGGAATACCAGGAGCAGTTTGAGGAGTTAAAGTCTCAGGTGATGATCTCTTTACCTCACCTACCGGAATCTTATTATATTTCTATCTTTACTAGTGGCCTGAAAGAGGAGATCAAGTCAATGGTTAAAATTATCCAACCCCAAACACTAGCTAAAGCTTTTGAAATAGCCATTTTACAAGAGAATACCATTACAGCCCTCAATAAAAACTCTAGAACTCTCAAACCTTACCCCACCCTTAAATGGACCAATTCAGCTCCTAAACCAAATGAACCTATTTCTAAGCTCACTTCGTTCACTGAACAAAAGAACCTCACCAATCCCCTTAAATTCCAGGCCATTACACCCTCTGATTTTCAAACCAAAAGAGAGTTGGGACTATGCTATAAATGTGATGAGAAGTATACTAGAGGTCATATTTGCAAAAACAAGATGCTTAACTTTATTCTGGTAGATGAAGAAAAGGAAGAGGTAGAGGAATCACAGAGGGATGAAGAGGAGTGTGTGGAGAAAAATAAGGAGGATGAGTTAATGGAGATATCACTTTGTGCATTGATGGGCAGTAACAGAGGAAAGACTATCAGAATACCGGGACTGATTAAAGGGAAACGAGTATCCATTTTGATAGACAGTGGGAGCACTCATAGTTTCATCGATGAGAAGTTGGTTAGTAGCATCAATTGTAGCCTTCGGACGAACAAGCCCACCTCCGTAACTGTTGCAGGGGGAGGAAAACTCATCAGCAAGGCTACTTGCAACCCATTAACTTGGAAGATGAAGGACTTCGAATTCCAGTATCATTTGAGGGTTCTCAAACTAGGGGGAAGTGACATGGTACTAGGGGTGGACTGGCTAAGTCAATTTAGCCCAGTGCTATTTGATTTCATTAAAGGAAGCATTACCTTTAACCATGAAGGAGTCAGGATGGAACTCCAGGATGAAACAATTAAAGAGGGGTTCCAAATGTTAAATAATCAGGAAGGAAATGGATGGAGCAGGAACCAAACTTATGGAATAATGGCACAAATTGATGCCATTACTGAAGGAGTACAGGGATTCACTCCTGCAGAATTAGAAGCAGTGATTAAGCGATATCCGATGGTGTTTCTGGAGCCCAAAGGCTTACCCCCACCCAGATTTAACGACCATCACATTCCCTTGAAAGAGGGGGCACAACCATTCAGGATGCGGCCCTATAGATGTCCCTACATACAGAAAGCAGAAATAGAAAAGATGGTCATGGAGATGAAAGAGAATGGCATCATACAATCCAGTAACAGTCCTTATGCTTCACCTGTTTTGCTGGTTAAGAAGAAGGATGGAACGTGGCGATTCTGTGTAGACTACAGGCAACTCAATAATCTTACAATTAAGGACAAGTATCCTATGCCATTAATAGATGAACTGATAGATGAATTGAAGGGTGCCAAATGGTTCACAAAAATTGATTTGAGAGCTGGTTACCATCAGATTAGAGTGGCTACTGAGGATATCCACAAAACAGCCTTTAAAACTCATGAAGGCCTCTATGAGTTCAGGGTAATGCCGTTTGGATTAACGAATGCCCCAGCCACATTCCAATGCCTGATGAATGAGGTATTTAAACAACACCTCAGGAAGTTTGTCATAGTTTTCTTCGATGATATTCTGGTGTATAGTACAGATCTAGAATCACACTGTAAGCATGTTACCGCGGTTCTGGAAATCCTCAAACAACACCAACTTTATGCCAAGGAAAGTAAATGCTCTTTTGGACAGTCGCAGATAGAGTACTTGGGCCACATTATATCAGTAGAAGGAGTATCAGCAGACCCCTCAAAGGTTACAGCAATGCAGGAGTGGCCCTCACCATCCAATGTGAAACAACTTAGGGGGTTCCTTGGCTTGACGGGGTATTATAGGAAGTTTGTTCGAGGATATGGAGTTATTGCCAAACCCCTAACTAATTTACTTAAAAAAGATAACTTCTGTTGGGATGAGGAAGCGGAAGTAGCATTCCAGGAATTAAAGAAGGCCATGAGCACCACTCCAGTATTGGCTCTACCGGATTTTTCCATACCATTTGTCATAGAAACTGATGCTTGCTATGGTGGATTGGGAGCGGTTTTAATGCAGAACAAAAGACCTATAGCTTATCTCAGCAAAGGCATTTGCAGCAGAAATTTAGGCCTCTCAATTTATGAAAAAGAGCTACTGGCACTAGTGACAGCTGTTAGCAAATGGAGGCACTATTTGGAGGGACATCATTTCATTGTAAAGACTGATCACCAGTCTCTTAAATACCTGTTAGAGCAGCGAATTACTACTCCATTACAACAGAAATGGCTATCTAAACTATTGGGGCTCAGTTATGAAATTCAATACAAGAAAGGTGTTGATAATAAAGTGGCAGATGCCTTATCTCGTAGGGAATTCGAATGCCTAGCTATCACTGTTGTGACTCCTCAGTGGATAGAAGAAGTAATGGCCAGTTATGATGGCGACGAAAGTGCTAAAAATATAATCAATGACTTGTTGTTAGCAGGCCAAACAGATTCAGACTACCAATACCTGAATGGGTTGCTTAAATATAAATCTAAGATTTATATTGGGAATGGTGGTGGAGTGAGGAAGAAGCTGATCATAGCCATTCATGAATCTCAAGAAGGGGGACATTCGGGTGTGCAAGCAAGCATCCACAGGGCAAAACAATACTTCTTTTGGCCAGGGATGAGTACAGAAATTAAGCAAAGTGTCTTAGAATGCGACACTTGCCAGAGATGTAAGAACGAACACACGGCATACCCAGGCCTTTTGCAACCATTACCAGAGCCGCAATATGCGTGGAGTCATATCTCCATGGATTTCATCGAAGGCCTACCCATGTCTAATGCCAAAAATGTGATACTAGTAGTGGTAGACAGATTTACTAAGTATGCACATTTTCTTACCTTGGCTCATCCATTCACAGCTTCTTCTGTTGCCAAATTATTCTTAGATCACATCTATAAGTTACATGGAATGCCTCAGAGTATTGTAACAGACAGAGACAGAGTGTTTACTAGTGACTTTTGGCAAAATTTGTTCAAGCAACTAGGGGTCAAGTTGCAGCTAAGTACAGCCTACCATCCCCAAACTGACGGGCAAACAGAGAGACTTAATCAGTGCTTGGAAATGTACCTTAGGTGCATGGTCTATAAGCAGCCTAAGCAATGGAGTAACTGGATTAGCTTGGCTGAATGGTGGTATAATACCACCCTACACACAGCCATTAAGATGACCCCATTTGAGGCACTTTATGGCATCAAACCACCCCAGTTAGCGTTGGGTCCATACCAACAGAGCAACATTGCTGCAGTAGAGGATCTACTTCAGGAAAGGCACAAAATAGATCAATTGCTGAAGGAAAACTTGTCTCAAGCCAGAGCTAGAATGAAGCACTACGCTGATAGAAACAGGAGTGAACGGGAATTTCAAGTGGGAGATTGGGTCTACTTGAAATTACACCCCTATGCCCAACAAACAGTGGCTAAACGGTCCAACAAAAAGCTGTCTGCCCGGTATTACGGGCCTTATCAGGTATTGCAGAGGATTGGAGCAGTAGCTTACAAATTGGAACTGCCTACCACTGCTCAAATTCACCCAGTGTTCCATGTTTCTTTGCTCAAGAAAAAAATTGGGGATAATGAGGTTCCTATCCAAGCTCTTCCACATCAGAACCAAGGTCCTGGAGAGCACACTCAGCCTTTCCGGGTGTTGTCTGCACGAATGATTAATCAGAGGGGGTCAGCTGTAACACAATGGCTGATCCAATGGAAGGACTCCACTCCAGATGAGGCAACGTGGGAAATCGCTAAAGATATACAGACTTCCTTCCCTTCCTTCCAACCTTGGGGACAAGGTGAAACAAAGGGGGAGGGATGTCATGAGAGTGACAACCAGCTGATATGGGGAGGTAAAGGTAGGAGAAGAACCAGAGGAGAAAGAGAAACTATTCTGCCGGGAAATTCAATTTCTGAGTTGTCATGAGAGTGACAACCAGCTGAAATGGGGAGGTAAAGGTAGGAGAAGAACCAGAGGAGAAAGAGAAACTATTCTGCCGGGAAATTCAATTTCTGAGACGGCGTCGTTTACTCTAGTGTAAACGATGTCGTTTTGATATCCAAATTTTAATTGTATTTTGAATCACGTTTTATCCATTTTGGGCTGTAATTACGCTTCCTTCTGGGGTTATAACGGAAAGGAAGCGAGGTGAGAGGCAGGTGAGTAAATTGTGTGATTTCCCTCTCAAATTTCTCTCTGCCTTCTCTCATCTTCTCTCATTCTCTTTCTTAATAACTCTTTCAATTCTGTAATGGCAATTTCAGATTCGATTGAATAAAATTGTTCTTCATTACAATTGTTTAAAATATTTGCAGGACAGTGATGATATTTCATAAACATCACAAAAATAGAAAAAAAGGATTCATACAAGTAATCAAAACTTAATTAAAAAAAAAGGGATTTACCTATCATTTATAATGTTAATTCATTTGGAAAGTTAGTTCACCATTGTAGGTTCTTTTGGCTACACTTAGGCCATTCCAAGATGGGTTCAATTCAAACGTGAAAAATAATTACACTTCGGCCAATGACTACCTCCTCCATTTTAGAATCAATTAGAAAAACATCCATTTTTTAAACTTTATGCCCATAAGGAAACAAATCATGTTCCAACAAAATAGTTAAAAAAAATACCTTCTCGTGGTCTTTCTTCCTCATCTTCCAACAATGCATCTTCCATGTGAGGGCCTTGTGGGTCACCTATGCCCTCCATTATCCACACAAGAGAAGAATTCCCAAGCCTAGGACGTTGATTTCAAGGAGAATTTCAAGAAATGTAGTGGTCTGGTGTTGATTTTCTCTTCCAGTGAGCAGAGAAATGTGAAAATGGGGAAGACAGAGAAATGTCGTGATTTTGGAAGGTTAAAGTTGTGGGTTTAATGGGGTGTTTGCCACGTAAGAAAATCGTCTGTCACGTGTACTTTTCTGTCAATTCTAAGAGACGGAAGTGGACTAAGTGATGGATGGGTAACCACAAGGAAAGTTGAGTGAGCGTTCAATAATGTGTTAAAGTTCAGTGAGTAAGTGGTAACAACTTGAAAGTTGAGTGATTGTTCATTAAATTTACTCTATATACCCAAATCACAAAATTTCATGGAGACCTAAAATTTGCAATTAAGAAAAGATGGAGAGTTGGGATTATACAAAATCCAGTTCTATGCACATTAGAGAGGAAAGGATAATCTCCAGACACTCAGAATATACATTTTCGTCCAGAATAAATATTATTACCCCTAAATTTTCCATCCTTTTCTTTTAGGATCTGTTTGATTGACAAATGTGAAAATGTTTTTCAATTCCATGTAAGTTGGAAAATAAAAACTCAAGTAACTCATAGGGATGCATTTTCCATAAAATTGGCAAAAAAACAAATTTAAAATGGTTGTACTTTAGAATTCGAATTCCATTTCAACTTTCGTATCAAACATCCAAAGTAGAAATTAAATTCCTCGGATGTGACATTTTCCATAGAATTTAAACCAATCAAACGGACCCTTGGAGTAAAAGATGATGATGAATCTCAGGTTCCATACCCCATCCGTTGCAAAGACTACAAACTCATCCTTATCAATGATGCATCTCTTAGAAATTTCAGGAACAGAGATAATACCAAACTCCTTGAGGCAGAAATCTCCGAATGCACGTGCCATAGCGAGGCCAGGAGAGTAGCTGTGGCAACCAAACTCTTGCAACCTCAGGTTCTTCCTGAAGGGCAAAAATACGTCCTTTACATTTGTGAATCCTCTCTGCTTCCGCTGTAAGGCCAATAAGGATGATATTAAAAGAAAAATATAAAATTATTTGAATATAAAACTAAACTGAGAACTCATATCATTAGTCGGAATTCCTCGTCCAAATTTTAAATCACCTGAAGATATTTAGTCATGCAATGGTAATTTAGCATTTAGTGGAGCATTGATCGAGAAGGGATAGAGAAGGGGGATAGAGAGAGACAGCTGTACCTGGAAGATTAGGTTTGAGATCCACACTCCACAGTCAACTGGACAGCAACAAGTGAATTATTTTGATCTCTTGTACCCAATATATCTCTGGAGTCCCCAACATTTCCAATTACAAGATTCTGACCCTACAGAAGATCAAGGCATTCTTGAGTGCAACTGAAACATAACCACCAGACCAGATCCTATAGTGTCACTTTCCAATTCACTCACTCACCTGTTTCACTAGAGTTGCTGCTGTTGTCCCACTGCAGAAGCAATCAATATTTGTAAACATCCTTAGTTCTCAGTCCATAACCTTAAAAGCCTTTAGAAAAGACTCCTTCAATGTCTGAAAGATCTCTGGGTGCTTTCTTGATTATTCGAGATCAATGAATGCTCTAGCTTCCTCATCAGCAGAAAAGGACGCATCTTCTGTTTTCATGCTACTTGTAGTATTCAAACTGGCCTCTTTAAGAACATTGCCATTCTTTATATTAGCTTCCCAGTTTTCTCTTAGTTTCGAAGGAAGGGAGTCTCACGCACTTCGCAACCATATGACCATTAGGACCATGGCCATCAAAAACACCACAGAAGACCGCGCCTGTCCCTGTACCAAAATTCTGGACATTTAATGTCATAATGAATTAGTGCCAATGTCTTGCAAACCACTTGAGATTGATAATAGCAATAAAATGGTCGATATAGCAAGATAGTTTGTTCATTTATCAGAGGCCATATGCCCTCTTCGATGAGTAAGAATAATCATTTAACAGGATTGTAAGTTACGTGAATGTGCATAAAAACTTCTATTAACTAATTATAGAACCAAGGTTACAAAAGCCAATAAGATGCAAAATCATAGTGTGAATAAGATTCTTTTGAAGAAGCCACAGGCGTCGGGAGTTCCATGCAGCTGTTTCTCCCTCCTATGATCAAAGGAAGAATTCCGAGATGCTGGGCTCCTTTTGGATCCCTTTGTCTTCCTGAATCCTCTTGGAGAACCAGGGAGTGGGCTCCTGCTTTCACTGGACATGCAGGACCCCATCCGTATGGCCCTGACTATGTTCGGTATGCACAGAAGAGTCACACTACTTATTTGAATTTCCCAGTATTGGATCCTTCACAAAATCCCAATTAAACTTTCCTTTCAAATCCTGTTGAAGAACATCCCAATCCTCCACATAATCTTCAGATAATTGACTCCTTCATTAACAAAAATAAAAAATAAATCAACCAAGTATGCCCTTATCCTATCCGTTTCGTTTTTTAATATTAGTGTTATGCAAAAAGCTAAAATAGTAAAAGGTTGAAGTCGAACCAAAAAAGCAGACACTGTGACCCTTTCCAACTTCTTAATAATTAAAGTATCCTTTATTTTCTCTCTGAAACACACTTCACCTGCTCATCAGAACCCAAAATTGGGAAGATAAATCAGAGCTCAAGATTATTCCAGACCTCTAAACGCCGCACTCAGTTTTTCTCCTATAGGGGCCAGAGGATCGAACCCCAAATCTCTTTTTCTACATTCACTGAAGAATTTACAAAAAAAAAAAAAAGGAAGTATAATTCAACTGTTACTTCCAAATCAAAACAATTGCTCATGGTGAAAGAAGGGATAAAAAAAGTGCTTTGACATCGGCAATTTATTTCCAAACATAATAACACGATTAAGCTGGATTGTAAATTAACAGACAGAAATTCGGAAGATAATCAATTGCACAGATATTATTCACAAGAGGAATAAATGATTAAAGATAGTGGAAAAAAAAGGACTTTGGTGGAGGAATTGAATAAAGTTGAGGGAAAGATCAAGAAGGAATCCACAGATACAGTTAAGCAAAGAAGAATTGCGCAAGGGGTAATGACTAGTAATCAGTAAGCCTAATGGTGGACACTGGACCATGCATGAATTATTGTGGGTTGCTTGGTTTTCAAGTAAAACTTCTTTTTATTGGTTCTATCTTTTCTGTTAATTTCAATAATTTATGGGTTCCACTCATAGCTGATAACCTGATACTGCTATGGAACGTGGATGATAGAGTTGAGAACAAAATTACAAACACGTAAAATGTCCAGAACAAGATGTAGGACATGTTTCAGATATTCGTCTAAACTTAACTTTTGCCAACAAACTGGTAATCAAAGAACTGCAGTACGCGTCCAAATTATGAACTACACAAACAGTGAAATTATTTTACTAGATTTTCTCCAACCCTACTGGATATGTGAATATGTCAATTAAACAAGCTCCTGTAAAAAAAAATTCTGATCTCTATTGAAACACTTGGGATGTGAATTAGACAGCACTCGTTGGTATTAATATATTGAGTCGTCCAATATGATGTAATAATCCTTACAAAAATGCCCTAATAGAACATCATTAAATATGCACAGCATATATGATGGTCATCATGACAACGTCGTAACTTCATTTTCGTCTCCAGAAGTTGCATCGTCTTCATTTGATAAAGAATCAGCCAAAAACTCTGATCTCAACTGCATCAGCAGCCTACCAAGATAGTTGAGGCCTTCTCCATCTCGACCACCTCCCCAGAACAGATCATGCGGTGAAGCTTCTACAAGAACGGATCCCGCAGTCGAGAGTAGCATAGATGTCAAATTAGGGTATGTTGAAAATTTGCACTTCAATGCCCTATACATAACATCAATTTTGGTAGATTCCCAATCAGATCTCACCTGCATGGTGAATGCCATGGCAAAATTGAATCAAGTTCCCGTTCAAAATTGTAAATAATCACAAGACAGCAACGTTCATCTCGGATAATATTTCTGAACTAAAATACACGGAAATTTCAGAAGCTCGAAATCAAGTCTTGGGGTTGATAAAAGAGGTGGACACTGAACTTTCAGAAAAATTTCATGATGGCCACCTAATTTTTTTTTTTTAAGTGGATCACCAAGCTTAAACATTTGTTACAATTTGGTCATTCAGTCCACCAAGACAGACTAGTTGGGAGAATAGTTGTAAATAACTAGACGATCATGTCACATTTTCCATTAGGCAAACTATGTTGGCGTAACCAACTTGAGATAAAATTTTAACGAACAACTTATAATAAAATAAACTTTCGTGAACTACTTGAAATCTAGCTAAGAGTTCAGACCGCCAGGTGTATGTAACCATGAAGTCTCCATAGAATCTTGCTCATCCAAACTAATGAAACTATTAAACAGCTAGTGTTTTCATGCCAATATATATCTGGTTACTATCGGAAAGTAATACCAGATCTGGATGCTGCCTCTGTATTTTCCTTCCCAGTCGTGCTGCTTCCTCAGGACTTTTTGCACTTTTTATGTTGTCCAAAACCTTTTTGGCAACAGGATTATTTACGCCAACAAACTTATTCGCCTGCAAATTGCAGAAACCTTGAAGAACATCTCTAGAAACGATGTATCAGACAAATCATATATCAAAATAAATAAAGAGACCTGGTAATAATGCTCCACACTTGGCCAGGTATAATAATCTCCATTTTCATCAGGCATCTGAATTGGATGCAAAGAGAAGTTCGAAAAGGCACCATGAGGATCCCATGTTTTAAAGAAAAATATAATGTTAGATTCATAAGCAGAAACGCTTGGATCAATTGCAGAAGTTTCATCCATTGACGGAATATTCGGTGTCAGGTCGGGAACAGGCTGAAGAAATCCGCTTACTAGCATGTCAGGACCAATCTGCAGTTCGTGCATCAAACATGAGCCAAAAATGAAAATAAAGAGAAAGAAAGAAGCCTAACAGAAAGCAGATAATATTAAAATGTTAATGCAGCTTTTTCATAAGAGGAGCATTTACAATTATGTGTAGAGAAGAAAACAACTAACCCATAGAAAGGACAACGGCAATACAGAATTATGAATTTGATAAAGTCAATACAAAAATATAACAAAGCAGGATTAATGTAAGTACTCCTCCAAAAATAGCAGATAATGATGAAGTCTAAGTGCCATTTAAATACTAGACATTCGACATTCAAACACACGTACATTTTTGGCAAGGTGCAAAAAGATATCTGACCTCCAATTTCCAACTTATTGATGTTTGTGTAGACATAGATTCATGTGGCTGTGAGGGTGAAAGATATGTATTACATGCTCCAAAAGTTCCAGTGTAGCTTAGGGCCTATTTTGGACAGATTCGATAGCTTCTTATTGCAAACGAATCATAAAATATAGAAATAACATTATGAAGAATTCATATGTTAATCAGATGAGAATTCATTAGTTAAGTGGTTCCCAAAACTAAACTTCAAGCTACTAATAACAAAGACCTGGAAACATCATAACAAATGTTTTCTGGTTTTTGTTTACCCATCAATATAAGAAAGCAATCACAAAGGTCATTGGTTCTTCTTTTATCATTGTTAAAAATAACTTGCTCATCATTGTTAAAAATAACTTGCTCTACCAGAATAACTTATACACCACTACACCAGCTCGCAGGTACTCAGAATCTTGCTATAGACCGTATAGCAGATCCATAAAACAAGGAATGAATACAAAGAACAGTATAGAAGATCTATAATACAAGGAAAAACTAAAAAATTAAAAAAAAAAATACCAAAGAACACTGTAGCAGATCTATAATAAAAGGGAAAAAAACAAAGAAACTGGTTTAGGCTATCATCAACATCAGAATTGTAGAAGAAGATTTTACAGACACGAAGACGAGATGCAAGTACATATAGAAATATCTCTAACCTGCTCGTATTGAACGTCAATTAATTCCAAAGCTTGTGTCATCTCCACCATCCCCAGTTCACCAACAGGTGATGGTGCATTTTTCCCACCAATAATTTTAGGAGCCACAAATGCATGCACCTGCAAGAAGATATAACAAAGACAGACAAATATAAAAACTAGAATAACATATTTCCTGAAAAATTGGTGCTTGCATAAGATCCCTGATGTCTAATATCTAATTATTCGGTATGTTACAATAAACCCACCAACCAGAAAAGATAAGATTGAGAAGGAGTTGAAAAACAAAGGAACATGGAAGAAGACTCGAACTAAACTTGCAGGGAACAAAACAAAATAATTAAATTGTTAAAAAATCACACTGTAAAGGCTAAATGTTAAATAATTAGGCTGTGTATGACACTCACTCCACAGTAGACGTCATCAGAGATAAACATATGCAGTAATACTCTTTCTGTAAGCATAAATTTGAGTAAAATACCATGGGTCTACCTACACATACCTTGTGTATGACACCAGATGAAATTGCAGAAGCAGCCAGTGTCCCTCCACACTCCCACAAAATTGAAAGATAACCACGATCGTAAAAGTAATCCATTACATCTTTGGGATTTAAGATGTCAAATTCAATTACTTCGACGCCCTTTGATGCGAGGAATTTCTGGAAACTCCTTCTCGCACCTCTCTGTGTGGCAACCATAGTGGGCACCTCAGTATCATCCCACAAGTTTGCAACCTCAGGAAGATTAAGAGTTTTTGACATTACAATCCGTCGAGGCAAATGTCCACCTCCATGTCTTGCAGTTAGATGTGGATCTATATTTCAAACTTGAATTAGAATGGTATTCAAACATTTTCAGCATTTCCATCAATCAGAAAAGTTATAGCTATGAAAGATCCATACTATCTCTCCGTACAGTATTCCCTCCAACAATAACAGCATCGCTTCTGCCCCTCAATTCAAAAACTCGAGATCTTGACATTTTGCTGCTTATCCATGACGCATGCCCACTACTTGCAGCAATTTTCCCTGTTTTTCAGGTAAAATCAGTAAACTTACCCCTTCCTCAAATAGTTTTAATCTGTACCCTAAAATAGTCGCCCTGATTTTATCACTTAAAATCATTAAAAGGGTTTAAAAATAGTTAAATTCTTCTTACCATCAAGTGTCATTGCATATTTGAGAACAGAGAATGGAACTCGAGAAGCAGCTCTATAGAGCAAAGGAGCATTGACTACTAGGCAAGATTTCAGAGCTTCCTACAAGACAAATCTAAAACTATTAATACATTAGAATGTGCAACATCAGCTACATTAAAAAAAAAAACTACAAAAAAAAAAGAAAGGAAATGCATCAGAAGTTTTTGAAATCAAGAATCTAAATGAAAATTACAGGACAGAAAGGTATCTGAATGACCACACTACTAGATATGTTGATAACTAACATGACTGCACAACATACCCTTTCATAAGTTATCAATCAACATTCTAGAACTTATTTCAAATTGCCAATAGTTGGTAAGATACCTTAAAATTTAAGCCTAAAAAAATGATGAAAAGAAATAGCAACTTGAGTTATTGCAAAGAAAATTGCAGGGTTGTATCCATTCTTACTCATAGTGGCATATAACAGTAGTTTACATATTTAACTTACAAAAATAATAGTCAAAGAGCAATGATTAAAGTACTAGTTGAGTAGCTGAAAGCGAAATTTCAGGCTATTGATATCAGGAAGTATTTTAGATTAGACTACATTACCTCAAAAGCTTTACTTTGCAAATCTTCACCAAGAACATCAACTAGCAGTCCTTCACTTCTGAGTGCACGGACAGCATTGCCCCGAAGATGTTGCAAAGGATGCCTTATCCCGATTACAACTCTACTAATTCCTGCCTAAAAATGTACCAGGCACATTTGAATTTTGAGTATAAAAAGAACATGAAAATGTTACCAAGCACAGTACATTTGAAGAACAAACTGGATGCAATGCCAAAGAAAGCTAGCAACACGATTAAAAAAGAACAGGAAACCAATACAACCAAAGGCTAGGAACATGACAGTGTGTATCAATTCAAATAAGGTACAACTAGGAAGCAAATGACATTTAATTAATGTTATACTCCAAAATCATAAGATTTGATGGAGAAAGGTATTATAATCCACAGTGAATTCCCGCATTACCTTCCAACTTGGAAAAAATATAAGCAAGTTACAACATTTGATCCAAAATGTAACAGATAAATTGCAATTGCTTACCTGGACAATAGCAGAAACGGAAGTGTGGTCGGCGGCGCAGTCATTGGGTTCCATATTGAGATAAGCGGTTGCACCACGGCAAAGCTCGCCGGCGGTCTCCACTGCCTGCAGCTCCGCCGGCATGGTCCCCTCCCCATACAAATAGCCTTCCCCTAGCACCACCACCCTTTCCCTTTCCTTGGTGGTGCTGGTTATCACGCAGCCAAAGTTTGGGTGTGGAGCAGTGAAGCCCGCCGAGCTGTCGGCTAGATTGGCGGCGCGTTTGATGTACGCAGCATCAAGATCGTGAGACGAGGGTGATGAGGAAGAAATTGAAGTGGCTTTGCAAGTAATGGGAGAAGGAAAAGTGAAAGCTCCTAATGCGAATGCCATTAGAGGTTATCCGGAC